AAGGTCAAAGGTAAAACTGGAGCCCCGTTTTACCCTAGAAACACCATTTGAAAACAAGGACAGTAAAATCTGAACAATTTTGTGTACTGTCACCATGGAAATTTTTGAGTAAATTTATTTCAAAATTGAACCAGTGGTTTAGATGTTGTTGTTTTCTAATTTTAGCTGTGGCCGCCATTTTATTAAACAGTTAAGCCAATCACTAAATGAGAGATGAGCTAATAACAAGAGGGCCATGATGGCCCTAGATCGCTCACCTGACCCATCAAACTCATCCAAACAATTACCTAGACAAGCATTCTGACCAAGTCTCATGACAGGTGAGTCAAAAATGTGACCACTACAGTGTTAACAAGGATTATCCATATTTGAGCAGTGTGACTTAGTTTTTTACAAAGGTGACCCATATTCATACCTGACCTAGAAATCATCAAAACAAACTTTCAGACCAATTTCCAGGATACTTGGATCAAAACAGTAGCAACTAGAGTGTTAACAAGATTTTTCTATTTTTAGCTCCGGTGACCTAGTTTCATATGCGATTTCGAACTCATCCAAACAATTACCTAGACAAACATCCTGACCAAGTTTGATGACAATTGAGTCGAAAATGTTTCCACAAGGTTTTATCCATATTTGGGCGGTGTGACCTAGTTTTTCATCCAAGATGACCTATGTTCGAACTTGACTTAGAAATCATCAAAACAAACTTTCAGACCAATTTACAGAATATTTGGATCACAACAGTAGCCACTAGAGTGTTAACAAGATTTTCTTTTTTTAGCTCCTGTGACCTAGTTTTTCATCCGTGATGACCCATGTTCGATCTAATCCCAGCAATGACCTAGACAAGCATCTTGACCAAGTTTGATGACAATTGAGTCAAAATTGTGACCACAAGAGTGTTAACAAAGTTTTTCTATTTTTAGCTCCGGTGACCTAGTTTTTCATCCGAGATGACCCATGTTCGAACTCATCCGAGCTATCACCTAGACAAACATCCTGACCAAGTTTGATAATGATTGAGGCAAAATTGTGACCTCTAGAGTGTTAACAAGGTTTTTCTATTTTTAGCTCTTGTGACCTAGTTTTTCATCTGAGATGACCCATGTTTGAACTCATCCGAGCTATCAACTAGATAAGCATCCTGACAAAGTTAGATGATGATTGATGCAAAAATGTGACTGCTGGAGTGTTAACAAGGTTTTTCTATTTTTAGCTCCGGTGACCTACTTTTTCATTTGAGATGACCCATGTTCTTACCCATCTGAGCTATCACCTAGACAAACATCCTGACCAAGTTTAATGATGATTGATGCAAAAATGTGACCGCTAGAGTGTTAACAAGGTTTTTCTATTTTTAGCTCTTGTGACCTAGTTTTTCATCCGAGATGACCCATGTTCGAACTCATCCGAGCTATCACCTAGACAAACATCCTGACCAAGTTTGATAATGATTGAGGCAAAATTGTGACCTCTAGAGTGTTAACAAGGTTTTTCTATTTTTAGCTCTTGTGACCTAGTTTTTCATCTGAGATGACCCATGTTCGAACTCATCCCAGCTATCAACTAGATAAGCATCCTGACCAAGTTTGATAGTGATTGAGGCAAAAATGTGACCGCTAGAGTGTTATCAGCTGATTAGTCATAAGATCAGGTTATTATGACTGCATTTTTCCCTAGTGAACAAAAGATCAATAAGGGTTATCTACTGGTCATGACTAGTAACTAGGTAATAATTTTTGTGACCACATAGGCTGTGTGCAGCCATTTTATGACATCTTACCAAATAATATATGCATAAATTCTATGAATCATGTAGGCCTTATTAATGACAGCCAAGATGTTATATTATATAAGACCTTAGAATGTGTATACGAAAAGTATTTTTAGTTAAATATAAAAATATCAACTAAGGCAACAAGAGTTGTTGAGTTATTGGTCAGAAACCGTCTTTAAGTACAAGGTCAATATGACACTTACCCCCTGACTCAAAAATCAATAGGGGTCATCTACTGACCAAGTCCAATGTACATACAAAGTTTGAGGGCCAGCAGCTATGGGCTTGTAAAGTTATTGATTGGAAACTGTTTTCACCTACAAAGTTAATATGACCTTGACCTTTGACCCCTTGACCCAAAAATCAATACGGGTCATCTAATTGTCAAGTTAAATGCCCCTCCGACACCTTGACACCTTGGCCCCAAAATCAATAGAGGTCTTCCACTGGTCATTAGCAATCATCATACCAAGTTTGAAGTTCCTAGGCCTAAACGTTCTTTAGTTATTGATCTTTAACCGCTTTTACCTACAAGGTCACTGTGACCTTGACCTTTGACCCCTTGACCATAAAATTAAAAGGAGTCATCTACTGGTCATGAACAATCATCATACCATGCTTGAATTTCCTAAACCTAAGTGTACTTTAGTTATTGATTAGAAAACGTTTTACCTACAAGGTCAATGTGACCTTGACCTTTAACCCCTTGATCCCAGAATCAATAGGATTTATCTGCCGATCATGAACAATTATCATACCAAGTTTGAAGTTCCTAGGCCTAAGCGTTCTTTAGTTATTGATCAGAAACCGTTTTTACCTACAAGGTCAATGTGAGCTTGACCTTTGACCCCTTGACCCCAAAATCAATAGGGTTCATCAGCTGGTCATGAAAAATCATCATATCAAGTTTGAGGTTCCTAGACCTAAGTGTTTTTTACTTATTAATCAAAACTGTTCTTACCTTTTAGGTCAATGTGACCTTTGACACCTTGACCCCAAAATCAATACGGGTCATCTACTGGTAATGACCAAGATTTCAAGATTCAAAATATCTATTGGCAAAAACATTTTACAATGTCCATCGCCATGTTCGGCGGACCAATCATCATACCAAGTTTGAAGTTCCTAGACTTAAGTGTTCTTTAGTTATTGATGGGGAAACTGTTCTTACCTATTAGGTAAATGTGACCTTGACCTTTCACACCTTTACCCCAAAATCAATAGGGGTCACCTACTTATCATGACCAATCATCATATCAAGACAATCAGCGGAAACCATGTGATCTACCGACAGACCTAATGACATTAGCAAAACAACATACCCTATTTCTTCACTGGGGGGGGGGGGGGTTGGGGGGGTATAAAAAAATCTTTTGGTTTCCATGGCAACAAGAGTTCTTCAAGGAATTTAATTCTTTTTACAACTTTGGTAGACCTTCATGCAAGGAACCTGCCAAGTTTCATAAAATTTGGCCAAGCGGTATTGGAGGAGAAGTCAATGGAAATGTTAGTACACAGACGACAGACAACAGGGTGTCACATAGGTCACCTTGTCTCTTTGTGACAGGTGAGCTAAAATCAAACTTGCCGGTTTACATTAACTTAGTATGAACAGATGGATAGACATGCACTGAAAGGAATAAGAGGCCCATCTTATGTTTAATAATGTTCTGTTGTTATGGAATTAACTCTCTATTCTTCTTTATTTGCTCTGTATATAGTTAGATTGCCCCTGTAGTGCAAATAAATAGACTGTTCAATTACTATATGCTTAGGTGCATAAAAATCATGATGTAAGTGAATATTTTAAGTCATTTTATCTTTTTGTATAAAGTCATTTTATCTTTTTGTATAATCTTACATACCCCTTTTATTTTGCTCTGCTTTGAAATCCTAAAATAAAAAGTATGCCTTGTAAGTACATGTATATTTTCAAGAAACAATATTGAAACTTTTCTAGTTACATTAAAACATTAACTTTCATGATCTACCTTACAATGACAAGTTGCAGGGGACAGATACATTATTTCTTAGCATTCAAGGTATAGGTTTTTTTTTTATACATATGGTCTTTCTTAGAATGGTGAGATGATATTTACACAAAAGCATAAGAAGCAAGGTATTGAAATTTTTGACACTGGTCTATATAAACAGTAAAAATTTAGAATTGACCAACAAATACACTTTATCCTCTACTTTATGACTTGTTCAAGCTTTTAAAAAAGACTGCCATTATATTTAAATGTTTTTTTTATCACATTTGGCCACAAAGAAATGGCATTAAAGGTATGTTTGTAGGAAAATATCCTTCAATCTCAATGTGCAGGCATTAAAACATTAGTAAAATAGAGGATCAGTGATTCATAATTCATAATACAGAACTTTTTTCGTTATTAGTGTCACAATTTTGTTAATCCCTTTTACAATGATTTTTTTTATTTCTGAAACAATAAGCAATCAGTCTCTTCATTTGGATAAGATTTATTTTAGTTAACATACAGGGTATTACAATAATTTGATATGAAAAAATGCTTGATTTTATATGTCTATAAAAGCAAAGAAAAATTTGTAAAAGTACAAATGTAATACCTGAAATGCTTCATATTCAAAAAGGACAAATTTAACATCTTGAAGACTTGTTCCACCTGAGCATGACATGTTAAACTCTTCAACAGCATCAAACATAGCTGCTTTGACTTCATAAAGTGGGTAATCTAATTTGCCTGCTCCCAGAGCAGGGAATGCTATTGTGGTACAATTACAACTTTCAGCTTCTTTCAAGCAATCAAGCACAAATTTTTTCAGCTTCTAAAATGAAAATGTCCAAATAATAATATATTTACAACAAAACTTTGCAACAAACAAAATAGATCAAGCAGAATGATTCATTTCATAATACTGACATGTAATGGTTGCTATTGCTACCAGAGTAAACAGTTCCATAAGATCTCACAGGTTGCTATACAAAACTAGAACTCCGCAAGTCGGATGTGTCGCCTTGTGAACAATGTAGTTTAGGAGAAATGGCCAGGACAAAAATGAAATATGAAAAATAACAAAGGGAAAAAAACTAAAAAAATAATAAGTGCAGAGCAGCATATCTGTGCACTGCACTTCTTATCAATAAGATCTATCATTCTATGATGTTTCAAGTCCATAGCTTTCATACTTGAGGAGAAATGACCAGGACAAAATTTAAGTAAGAAAATCAACGAAGGGCAATAACTCAAAAAATAAGAAATGCAGAGTATCAGTTCTTATGCACTGCACTTTTTCTTAATGAGATCTATCATCCTATGAAGTTTCAAGTCCATTACTTTTATACTTTCGGAAAAATGGCCTGGACAAAATTTAAGTATGAAAATTAACAAAGGGCCAAAACTCAAAAATTAAGAAATGCAGAGTACCGATTCTTGTGCACTGCACTTCTTCTTAATGAGATCTATCATCCTATGAAGTTTCAAGTCCATAGCTTTTATACTTAAGGAGAAATGGCGCGGACAAAATCAAAGTATGAAAATAAACAAAGGGCAATAACTCAAAAAAATAAGAAATGCAGAGTACCTGTTCTTGTGCACTGCACTTCTTCTTAATGAGACCTATCATCCTATGAAGTTTCAAGTCCATGGCTTTTATACATTAGGAGAAATAGCCCGGACAAAAATAAAGTATGAAAATTAACAAAGCTCAATAACGCAAAAATTAGGAAGTGCAGAGTACCGGTTCTTGTACTCTGCACTTCTTCTTAATGAGATCTATCATCCTATGAAGTTTCATGTCCATAGCTTTTTTAGTTGAAGAGAAATGGCCCGGACAAAATTAAAGTATGAAAATTAACAAAGGGCAATAACTCAAAAAATAAGAACTGCAGAGTACCGGTCCTTGAGCACTGCACTTCGGGTTATTGAAAAAAGCATGCACACCAAGTTTGAAGTCAATCAGGGGTGGTTGTCTCGAAAAATTCTCGTATCTTAAAGTTGTGGCTAAACTTACGAGATTGCTAAGGTATAACTAAGATGTCCTTATTTCATTGTCTGGAAGGACACCTTAACGATCTCGTTTCTCAAATGTTATTTACGACATCGTATATGCAAAGGTGACTTTGTGTAGTTAACGCATGACCCACCTAATGCATTAACTCGACTTTGAAGAGGCTAGAACTACGGTCTACTGTAAAGAAACCAAGGGACGTGGGTTCAAGCCCCAAATGAGGCAGATTTTTTTTTTTGATTTTGTTTTTTTTTAAATATTATTTTTATGTCTCTCTTGGTAAGAAAAAAGTGTTTTATTTTAATTATAAAATTATTATCGGTATTTATTGGCTAAGTTATGCCAAATTTATTATCAAATACCTGATATTTTCAAAGTCTAATAAATCAAACACTAGACGGTAAAAGTATTTTATATTTGACAAGACCAACCAATTTATATGTACTTTTAAGAAAATTTAGGCAATCTTTGTAAACAGGCCCTTATTTTGGTAATTTTTAGGGATATTTTGAACACGGCATTCCAAGTAGGAAAATGGTCAAACAAATATTTAAAATGTGTGAGGTAGGGTAACATTTATATACATATTTCAAACATTTGGAGTAGAAACTATAAAAGCATAGCCTGGTTATGACATTGATGCATACATATTTCTGCAGTATTTTATATCATATTTGAAATAAGTTTCAAAAAATGTCTGTCAAGAAAATTGAGGACAATTTGGTCTACAAATGAACTTCAGGTACTTGCAAGAGAGGAAAATGGATGTCAGCAATTTTTCTGAAATAATCACAAATAAAAAGAAAACAAACAAAAAATGGGTCCAGATAATAGCAAAAGTGAATTCTGTTTCGACCTGCAAAAGGAGCTGCACAAAAGTAAGAAAGAAGAGGAGTGACGTGTGATATATGGCATTATCATGAACAACAAATAATTTCTTATTAAATCCGTTAAAGTGAAGAAAACAGCAATTTACAACTATTTTCAACGACGCGGGGTAACATACGCACATAAAAAAGATGACGTCAGACGTTCAACGGCTGCGGAAAAAAGTAATTCAAGTTTATTGTCATCATTGCGGTGTAATTTTTAGTTGATATTTGAAGCGAGAAATATGCAAACCAAAAGCAACAATTACTTAGTATGTAAACTAACAACTTTACTGAATTAGAAAATTAAAAGGTATGCCAAAGGTTCGGCAAAGCTACTTCAGTCATAGTGTGAGTGATGGCCTGTGGGTGATATGGATTATATTTCACTAATATAACTCAGTTTTCACTAGTTAGCATTAAATAGATAGAGGGTATTCAAGTTTTTCCAATAAATACAGGATTTATTTTCATCGAGTGGTATGGAAATAAATATTTCATGAGTGGCGGTAGCCACCAGTGAAATATGAAAATTTTCATACCACAAGATGCAAATAAATCCTGTATTTAATTGAAAAAAACTTGAATTTTCTGTTTATTAAATACATTTTTCTTTTTGATATTACAATTTGAAAGATTTACTCTTAAATTTTGTTTATTGGCTGAATTCAGAAAAAGTAGTCCGGCAATAAACCAGTGAAAATACAGAAAATATGTTTCACTGTAGTGAAAAATAATATTTTTTACAGTGAATATACGGAAAATGAAAATACGCAGTTTATTGCATCAATATTTCATTTCATTTATAAGAACATAATAAATACAGCATATTTGTTAATTTCGAGCGAATATGCTAACTATATCCCAATAAAATTGCAATGTTTTTTCACGTCCATATTCACGAAAAACTAACTATACAGTCAATGACGCGCAGAAACAGACTCACGTTCAAAGAAAACATCAGACGTTCACTTGCTGCATGGACGCTCCGTAGAAAACGTTATTTAAAATTTATAGTCACAATCGCGGCGTAATTTTTAACTTTTATTAAACAAAGAAATAATGACATTTGAATCGAGAAATGTGCCATTTAGAACACAACACTACAATCACTTATTATGGAAATCCGCGAAAATTAAATTGTTCGCCAAATCAAGTTCAGCAATCTCCTACGCAATGATCTCCCCTTATCAGTACCATCTAGTCCCAGTGTGAGTGATATATTGTGCATGATATGGATTTTATTTGACTGATAATATGAGGTTATTATACGTTGTGTTTAATCCTGAATTCTAGCGCCTCGTCAAATATAAGTGCAATAAAACAAGAGTATTTTCAATGACATCTTCATTTCACACCATCAATGTTTTGACATAACTTTGTTTATTTGCGTACAATATGGATTTGATATGTATTGTTTGGACTTGCAAAATAAAAATGAGGCTATCTTAAATTCAATATGCATTTGATACAGACTCTTTGGACTGTAAAAACGAAAAAGAAGCTTGATTGAGTACGATATGCATTTGACATGGATTTTCTTTTACTCTTAAAATGAAAATGAGGCTAAATTGACAAGATGGAATCCAATCATATTCGTTATCGTAGACTTACGATGCTGCTATGGGGTCATTTTTTTACCGTAACTTTACGAGATGTTTAAGATACATCGTAAATTACGAACTCTCCGAGACAACCAGAAAAAATGCAACGATGACCTTACGTCAGTATTACGAACGTCGTATGGAAAAAAAGTACGAGGCTTTCGAGACATCCACCCCAAACTTATAGTGACTGAGTTATGCTCCAGACAAGCTTTAGGGGACGCCGCCGCCGACAACGACGCCGACACAGACGCCGCCAAACGTAACCCCTATATGTCACCTTTTCAAGGCGACACAATAAATGGTTTCACCAAAGGCACCCACTAAACAGTCTATTTTTCTGACGAGGAGTTTTCTATGAAACATTAACTATGTAGTAGTTTTCGTAAAGGCACATTTTTCAGACTATTATTAAATTTTCATAAAGCTAACCTTCATTTACAACATGGTCTCCTGCTTTAGTAGGATGTTTTTACACTGAGACATGCTCTTATTTATCTGTACATGATAATTTTGGCTGGGTCAATATTGAACCCTGAGGCAACAGTTTCATAAAGGTCAATAAGGAAATGCTCCTTGCTACATATCTTAGCTCTAGACTTTGTAGTCCCAAACATGGGACTTAGATGAGTTTTCCTATATGTCTTTATAAATCAAGTAATCCCCAAGCGGGGTCAATTTTGCTCTTAGGATGCCCAAACCTTTGTTCTGCGCATCGTTTAAATATAAGTACTATTTCTGCCAAATTCCTAGAGGTTCAAAAGATACAGAGCTCATACAAAATTTTGAAATTCATACAAAATGACTAAGTATGATCTTGAAGGTCAAACCTACCCTTCACATCATCTCATTATGATTAACATTTCTGCCACATGATATTTGGATCAGTTTAAAAGATACAGACTGGAAACAGAAGTGCAGATGGTCACAGAGACAAAAAGAAGCATAACATTTTGTGGGCATATTAAAAGGCTAAATCAATTCTATTTGAGTAATTTTGACTTGAACTTCCTACCAAGTTCTGCAAAACTATTTCAGAACAATATTTACCTTTTGACTTGTGCCATTTGCTACATAATACTCTAAAAGACCATGGAATATAAATTTGCAGCCTTGAAGGTACGCCCCTGTTTTGTATACTTTCAGTGAATCTAAGGGACATTTGAATTTTCTAATTTCAGCTTGAAGTTTGTGTCCTTCATTTCCTGCTTTCTTCAAAAGAGACTTTGATATGGCTCCCTTATCAAAATCACCCATTCTATCAATTGTGTTCACCAAAATGTCAGCCTGTAAAATATAATTATAAAGTTCAATAAATTATTTCTAAACTAGAGCTATCGCTGAATGCAATTCATACCCCCACCAATGTCCTTGACAGAAGACAACTTGGAAAGGTGGTTAAGGGAATAACTTTAATGGCACAAATACAAATAGATAAAAAGAAATTATCTCTGGTGAAAACAAGATTGCATTTGTGAAAACTGCTATGTCACCGCATTAATACAACACTAAATACTAATATAGAAACACTTTTTATGTTGCTATACAATTGAAGATTGCCATAATGCATAGATCATTGACATATCTAATTGTTATTATTAGATTAGTACCTTCAGATAAGAAGATTTTTAATTTTTTACTTTATGACATAGTGACTGAAAATCAGTAATCCCCGGGACGGGGCCAATTTTAACCTCAGGGTTATAATTTGGACAATCTTGCTAGAGGTTCACTGCACAATGTTTCATGCAAAATATCTAACCTCTGGCCTTTGTCAATTAGAGAAGATGATTTTTTTAAAGTTTTACTATATACATGTAAGGAAAACCTATTACCCCCCCCCCTTGTACCTTCAGACAATAAGATATTTTAATTTGGCCAATTTTTACCCCAGGGCTGTAATTTGAACAATCTTGGTAGAGGTTCACTACACAATGTTTCATGCAAAATATCCAAACTGAGACTAGCCTTTCTCAATATCTAGAAGATGATTTTTTAAGGTAGAAAGCAACACTTTGCGAACTTTCGAGTAGCGTCTTGAAAATTGGCATGCCAAAAGTTGACCATATTTCTAATTAGATTCCTTTCATTTTATTCCAATAGTTTCAGCCAATTTTTGTACATACGACGTCAAAGTTGAACATCAAAGCCCGTTTTTGAACATGACGTCGTTGCGTATCCTTGGCAACTGTTACGGGTATTACAACACCATAGGCGGACAAAATATTTTAAATTCTACTCCATTTGAAGGAAATTAATTTTTCCTTTAAGCTGAAAAATGTTTGGAAAATTGAAAGAAAACTGTCAATTTTGTGTAAAGTTTGATGTTTAGTTAAGCCGCATTTTTCGGCTTTTTAAAGCAGCTTATTAAAAAAATTCCTGAAATAAATTTTTGATTTTCTTCTATAAACGTCCTTTAAAATGTATACTCAGTCTAAATGACTTAAAAAATAGGGGTTCACCGACTCAATTTTTTTCGGTGCACATGATTTTATTTCCCCCACCCCTTTCGATATACGTCACGCTGTCACAGGGCGTTTGTTATTTTGTTTGTCATTAAAAAGATCGCCCTGCGTCAAAATCCCAATTTATACAGCATTTCATGTGATTATGACCACTGCGGAATATATATGGATACAATAAAGGGTACGGAACTCCGTATATTATAGATAGACAGGTGAAAATAATGAAATTTGAATATGTAGATGTACGAGACCATATATCATGCAATAAGTATATGACTAATATACAGAGATCCATACACTCGTAATATTTACAGGAACTTTGTTTAAAGTCTGTATTTGTATATAAAAACATAATAAAGATGTACTTCAGAATTACCCAATTTCTACAAGAGGAAAGAAATAATAGTCTGATCTGACATTTGTCAGAATAACATTAAATGTTTGAAACGTTGGCTCAGTGGTTGTTGGATTACAGAGGTAGCATGTTGGATTCTACAAGTAGATAAATATCTTTAATATATTTTCTCCCGTTTTGCTTATCATTTTAGAATATCATAATGTTAAAAATAACGATTAATTGAAGATTCACCAAAAACGCTATATTAAAATCATTACTATCAAAACAGCCTTTGCAAAATATTCATTATTCACTGTATAGCCAAATTTATGGAAGAAATTATTTTGAACATGAAATTTAAAACAAAAAGTTTTTTAAACATGAATTATAATGAAACAGTTTTACTACACATCTGCGATTGTTAAATAGAACATATATAGCGAACCAGACTTGAGTCTTGAGCTAGATGCTGCACAAAAGAGTGTTGCGTTGTAAATCTTTATACAAAAAAGAAAATTCAATATATATTGCCATTTTTTGTCTGTACATATTACAGATACTGTACATTTTAAATGCTCTATTCACTGACCATTTAATCAGTACGACGTCAATTTCTTTACATGCGTCTGTTTACAATTCCTTATGAACTTATTAATCATGCTTAAAAACAAGAAGATAATTTATTGTTTGTTTTGTCGTACATTTTTTTTTCAGCAAACATAAACGTCACAAAATGGAAAGGCGATAATAAATTCAATAAAATTGCACTTCGGCCAAGGCCTGATAGTTAACTAGACAATTGCATGTCTAGCAAGTTTCGTGTAGTAACACTGCTGACAGTTCCTTTTTGCTCTAGTTGCATGTTATATTAAAAATGTACTTGTATTTTAGAGACTTTACTAGCCTGGGTTCTAGTCTTTGCTTCTATTCAGAAAATCGACTATATAAAAAAAATAATCAATCAGAAATTGTGACGTGTTCATACTAGCGCGTATGTTATGAATAAGTAAAATAAAATATCAACCCCTAAATCCCTGGCTAACATTTTAAATTTAAGCATTTTCAATGGAACATTAATGTTGTTATTGTTTTATATGTATAAGTAAAACTCTAGAACAATTCTCCTTGTAACCTGAACATTAGTGCCGCACTTTGAAGTCTCAAACGTTTCTGCATACGTCGATTCATTATTTTGTTACAAAATTACTGAAGGGGTGGGGGAAATAAAATCACGTGTGACCCCCTACTTTTTTTTAGTTATTATGACTAAGTATACATTTTAAAGGACCTTTAAAGAAAAAAATCAAAAATTTATATCAGGAATTTTTAAATAAAACGCTTTAAAGCCAAAAAATGGTCAAAATTTACACAAAATTGACAGTTTTCTTTCAATTTTTCAAACATTTTTCGACGTAAAACGATAAATTTTATATCAACTTAAAGGAAAAAATAATTACTGTTGAATGCAATAGAATTTCAGATATTTTGTCCGCCTATTGTGTTGTGATATCTGTAACAGTTGCCAAAGATATGCAACGACGTCATGTTTTTTTTTGTCAAGGTCCCTGTGACCTTGACCTTTGACCCAGTGACCTCAAAATTAATAGGGGTCACCTTATAGTCATGATCAACATCCATGCCAAATATGAAGACTGTGGGTCAAAGGAATCTTAAGTTAATGGGTGGACAAACTTTTTGAAGTCAAAGTCCCTATGACCTTGACCTTTGATCCAGTGACCTCAAAAACAAAAGGGGTCATCTACTAATCATGACTAACCTCCATTCCAAATATGAAGACTGTGGGTCATAGGAATCTTAAGTTATTGGGCGGACAAGCTTTTTGAAGTCAAGGCACCTGTGACCTTGACCTTTGACCTGGTGACCTCAAAATAAATAGAAGTCATCTACTAATCATGACTAACATCCATGCCAAATATGAAGACTGTGGGTCAAAGGAATCTTAAGTTATAGGACAAGCTTTTTGAAGTCAAGGCCCCTGTGACCTTGACCTTTGACCTGGTTACCTCAAAGTCAATAGGGGTCATCTACTAATCATGACTAACCTCCATGCCAAATATGAAGACTGTGGGTCAAAGGAATCTTAAGTTATTGGGCGGACAAGCTTTTTGAAGTCAAGGCCCCTGTGACCTTGACCTTTGACCTCAAAGCCAATAGGGGTCATCTACTAATCATGACTAACCTCAATGCCAAATATGAAGACTGTGGGTCAAAGGAATCTTAAGTTATTTGGCGGACAAGCTTTTTGAAGTCAAGGCCCCTGTGACCTTGACCTTTGACCTGGTGACTTCAAAGTCAATAGGGGTCATCTACTAATCACGACTAACCTCAATGCCAAATATGAAGACTATGGGTCAAAGGAATCTTAAGTTATTGGGCGGACAAGCTTTTTGAAATCAACGCCCTTGTGACCTTGACCTTTGACCTAGTGACCTCAAAATTAATAGGGGTCATCTACTAATCATGACTAACCTCCATGCCAAATATAAAGACTAAGGGTCAAAGGAATCTTAAGTTATTGGACGGACAAGAAAAAACCGACGGCCGGCCGGCCGGACGGACGGACAGACGGACAAGCTGATTCCAGTATACCCCCCTTACAAATTTGTTATGCGGGGGTATAAATATGGTCAACTTTCTGCATGCCAATTTTCAAGACAGTACTCGAAAGTTCCCAAAGTTCTACCTTAAGTTTTTACTAGATACATATAAGGAACAAGAGCTGTCGGTAGGACAGCAACGCTCGACTATTCTTAGTGCTTGATAGTAAAAAAAAATGCTTGATATAGTTACCTCCTCCTGTTTACAGGTTGGGGTCATGATGGTGAACAAGTGTGCAAAGTTTCAAAGCCATATGTCAATGGACTTTGAAAATATTTGAACTATTACAAAAACTTTAACGTAAATTCTAAGTCCAAAAAGGGGCATAATTCTGTGAAAATGCTTGATAGAGTTACCTCCTCTTGTCTACAGGTTGGGGTCATGATGGTGAACAAGTGTGCAAAGTTTTAAAGCCATATGTCAATGGACTTTGAAAATATTTGAACTATTACAAAAACTTTAACGTAAGTGGTTACGCCGACGCCGACGCTCGGGGTACTACAACAGCTCTACTTATTTTTATCGAATAGTCGAGCTAAAAATTATGACCCCCAGGGCGGGGCTAATTTTGACACTAGAAGTAAAACTTGAACAACTTTGGTAGATTACCTATAGATGATATCATATACTGAAAATCAAAGCTCTAAGCCTTGTATCTTCAGACAAGTTTTTACTATATGTACATATAGTAACTCAATGACCCCCGGGGCAGAGCTAATTTTGACCCCCAGGGCTATAATTTTGCCAATCTTGGTAGAGGTCTACCAGACAATGCCTTATGCAAAATATCTATGCTCTAGGCTTTGTGGGGTTTACAAGAAGATTTTTTTAATTTATTCTTATAATTCTTTTTGGTTGCCATTGCA